TGGTTTCCGGTTCCTTCTAAAATCATTTGAACTCCTCGGTCTTTTGAACAGGAATAGGATTATCCCTTGTTTCCTGTTTAGGATTTGGTTCCCTCTAAAAGGACTTCATCTGGGTTCTAACGTCTCTTCCCCTGTCTTTTGAACAGGAAGACAGGTTTATCCTTGTTCCCTGTTTAAACGGGTTTCCGGTTCCTTCTAACGTCTACTTCAACTCTATACTTCTAACGTCTCCTCCTCGGTCATTTGAACAGGAATAGATAGGTTATCCATTGTTTCCTGTTTACGTTTGGTTTCCGGATCCCTTCTAAAATCTACTTCAACTGTATAGTTCAACGTCTTGAACAGGAAGACAGGTTTATCCCTTCCTGTTTATGATTGGGTTCCGGTTCCTTCTAACGTCTGAACTCTAAATTCTAACGATGCACGGGAACAGGAATAGATATTTATCTTCCTTCTAAAATCTACTTCAACTGTATACTTTAATGTCCGCCTCGCCAGGAATAGAGGATTATCCATTGTTCCCTGTTTAGGATTGCGTTTCCCGATCCTTCTAAAATCTACTTCATCTGTATACTTCTAACGTCTCCTCCTCGGTCATTTTTTGAACAGGAAGTCAGGTTTTATCCTTGTTCCCTTTTAGGATTGGGTTTCCACGTTCCTTCTAACGTCTACTTCATCTGTATACTTATAACGTCTCCTTCCCCGGTCATTTGAACAGGAATTTTAAATCCATTTTCCCTGTTTAGGATTAGTTTTCAGTTCCTTCTAACGTCTACTTCAACTGTATACTTCTAACGTCTCCTCCCCGGTCATTTGAACAGGAATAGAGGTTTATCCCTTGTTCCCTGTTTAGGATTAGTTTTCCGGTTCCTTCTAACGTCTATTTCAACTGTATACTTCTAACGTCTCCCCGGACTTTGAACAGGAATAGGGTTTATCCTTGTTCAACTAATTCCCGTTCCTTTAACGTCTAACCTCCTCTTATGTCATTTGAACAGGAATAGAGGTATATCCCTTGTTCCCACTTTAGTATTGGGTTTCAGTTCCTTCCGTTCTTCAAAAAATTCTTGTCTCCTCCTCGGTCTTTTGACCAGGAATAGAGGGTTATCCATTGTTCCCTGTTTAGGATTGGGTTTCCCGTTCCTTCTAACGTCTACTTCAACTCTATAATTCTAACGTCTCCTCCCCGGTCTTTTGACCAGGAATAGAGGATTATCCATTGTTCCCTGTTTAGGATTGGGTTTCCGGTTCCTTCTTAAATCTACTCCAACTGTATACTTCTAACGTCTACTCCTCGGTCATTTGAACAGGAATATTGGTTTATCCCTTGTTCCCTGTTTAGGATTGGGTTTCCGGTTCCTTCTAAAATCTACTTCAGCAGCATTCTTCTAATGTCTCCTCCCCGGTCTTTTGAACAGCAAGTCAGGTTTATCCCTTGTTCCCTGTTTATGATTTGGTTTCCGGTTCCTTCTAAAATCTACTTCAACTGTATACTTCTGACGTCTCCTCCCCGGTTATTTGAACAGGAAGTCAGGTTTATCCCTTGTTCCCTGTTTGTGGCTTTGCTTCCGGTTCCTTCTAAAATCTACTTCAACTCTAGACTTCTAACGTCTCCTCCGCAGTCTTTTGAACAGGAAGTCTGGTTTATCCCTTGTTCCCTGTTTAGAATTTGTTTTCTCATTCTTTCTAAAATCTACTTCAACTCCATATGTCTGACGTCCCTGCTTAATCTCTGAAATTTTATTTACCACGTAATTTATTTTTATTTATTTCTCTTTTTTTTATCTCTCAATAGGAGTAGATAGATTCGCCTAGCGTTCAGTTCGCAGTCCTCCTGGTTCTTTTGAACATGGGTAGAAGTTTATCCTTTGTTTACTGTTTAGGTTTGTATTTCCGGTCTGGTTTTAATCTCGTTCTCCCCGCTGCCTCTTAGTGTTATTATCACCTTCTTTGGTGTGAACTGATTTTAAAAATATATATGAAATTAACATTTCACATGTGATCTCAGGTAGAATTATTAAAACAATAATTTTTAAATAATTTTGAAATTAAAAAATCGATTACATCTTTCAAATATTTATAAAATTAATATTTTTCTAAAAATGTGTATCTTGATTTTACAACATAATTTAGTAGATATACTTAAAAAAATTAAATAAACTTAAAAAAGGATTATTGTTCTTACTGTGAACTTTAATTATTTAAAATTACCCATTAATAACTGCATTTTACTATTATTATTTAGGATATATATATATATATATATATATATATATATATATATATATATATATATATATTATTATTTTAGGATATATTTTTTATTATTATTTATATATATATATATATATATATATATATATATATATATATATCTAAATAATAATAGTAAAATGCAAATATATATATATATATATATATATATATACATGTGTGTCTGTATGTATAGGGCTACCATTCGTCTTTTCCTTGAATATTACTGTCACGTATGGTCTGGTGCTCCTGCCATATATTTAGAGATTTTTGATAAAATACAAAGAATCTGCAATGTTATTGGTCCCAACATGACATCCCGGCTTCGCTCCTTTCCCCATCGCCGTAACGTAACTTTCCTGTGCTTTTCTATAAATATTTTCATTGTAATTGTTCTGATGAACTATCTTTTTTGATACCTAGAATTTATGAATCTAAACGCATTACTAGATTGGCGACATCATCTCTTCGTTTTACAAGTGAAATGGCTAGATGTAACCGTACGTTCTATGGTAACAGTTTCTTCTCTCGCACTTCTTTCTTGTAGAACTCTTTTCCGTCTTGCTTTCTAGTCAAGTTTGACTTTCAATATTTTAAATACAATATCAATCGTCATCTTCTGTCTTCTTTTATTGTTCTCTCTCTTTAATAGTGTTTCTTCTCATATTTTAGTAACTCTTTGTGTCTTAGTGGCTTTATTGTCCTGCTTGAAGTGAAATTATTAAAAAGATAGATGATATATTTCTGCTACTTTTTCACAATGAATCCTTTGAATGAATTTTGAAAACTTTCAAAATTCAGTTTTTAAATTCTGTTTCAAACATAAATGTTTCCAAAATCGAAAATAATTAAATTCTTTAAAAAATAATTAATCCTTAAAAATAATTAAATCCTTAAAAAAAGAATTAAATCCTTAAAAAAACTAATTAAATCCTTAAAAAAAGAATTAAATACTTTAAAAACTAATTAAATCCTTAAAAAAACTAATTAAATCCTTAAAAATATAATTAAATCTTTAAAAAACAATTAAATCCTTAAAAAAATAATTAAATCTTTAAAAAATAATTAAATCCTTAAAAAAATAATTAAATTCTTAAAAAAAAAAATAATTAAATCCTTAAAAACTAATTAAATCCTTGTTAGACTTACTGACTTATTTATATCAGAATATTATTCAGTTCATTTTCTAACGGTATAAAGTTTATGAAACTTGAATTTTCGTTTCTATGGAATTTAAATAAATATTGGGGTGGGGATATAAATTCCGCAAAACATTCATCAGATGCCATGCTGAGTCACCCGGTTTCGAGGAATCTTTTAGAACAATGACATGTGACAGGTTATACTTAGTCAAAAGGTACCAGCAATGATTCCTGGCCTGGTGAATTATCGGAAGTCCAAGACGGATTGTCTGATAAGGATAAAGGGATAACCGTTTTTTTTACGGCTTTTTCAACCCTTATCAAGCCAAAAAATATTTTTCAATTGTAAGACTGTTTTTGTGATAATAATGGTTTACTAATGTACTACTACTACTACTACTACTGTACTGATGCGGCATTCACCCTGGGCGGATTGAGCCGGCTTCTTCTTGTTATGAGAAGAAGATTCTTGGGATAAATTACAGAAGTAGGGTACCCAGGCCTACTCGGATAACGTTCTTGCTTGCCGCGGGGTTCCCACAGACGCAGAGACAGGAACGACCAGAAGCTTACGGTCAAATCACGCTGAAACACCGGTTCTCGTACGATCACCGAAGTTAAGCAGCGTAGAGCCAGGTCAGTACTTAGATGGGGGACCGCTTGGGAACATCTGGTACTGTAAGCCCCCAAAGTCCAACCCAGTGGGAACACCTGGTACTGTAAGCCCCCAAATTCCAACCCAGTTTACTAATGTCTTACTAATTAACCCATAGCTGGGAGGCAAGCGGTGGATTCGTACCTAATCTGATGAACAAGAACTCATGATGTGTATATAAAGTGGGGGATATATTCTATATTAAAATCAATATATAAACTGATCCCTCACTTTGTGTCCATGGTAGTTTCTATACATTTATATTCCAGAGGCTGTAAATAAATCTAAAAGACATGTCTGTGCAGCTAATCAGTATTTTATTGATAGATTGATTCGTTTTCTATGGCTTATCAACCCTTTGGAGGTTATTTAAAGCCAGGAAATATATTTAGATTATAAGAATTTTGGTGTGGGAGGTAATAATGGTTTAGTGATACAAGTCTTACTAATTAACCCATAGCTGGGGGAGAGGAGGTGGATTTTTACCTAATCAAAATCTGATAAATAAACAAGAAATTATAATGTGGGTATAAAGTGGGGGATCAATCCTATATTATAATCAATATATAAAATAATCCTTCACTTTGTGGACACGGTAGTTTATATACATTTATATTCCAGAGGCTGTAAATAAATCTGAAAGACATGCCTGTATCGCTAATTGATTGATTAATTAGTTTTCTATGGCTTATCAACCCTTTGCAGGTTATTTAATGCTAGAAAATATTTTTAAATTCTAAGATTTTATTTTTTTGAGATAATAATGATTTAGTAATATAAGTCTTATTAATTAACTCATAGCTGGGGGGGGGGTGAAGAAGATGTGAATTCATATATTTCCCGAGGGTATTTGCGCGTAAATGAATACAAGGAACTCATCAAGAGTTGGAAATCTGCTCTCCGATTAACAATTCCGAAATGTTATCCATTACACCATCTGCACATCCAAGCTTACAGTACCTGGTATTCCCAAGCGGTCACCCATCTAGGTACTAACCAGGTCAGACGTTGCTTAACTTCGGTGATCGTACGAGAACCGGTGTTTTAACGTGGTGTGGCCGTAAGCCTGAGCAAAGGAGTTATTATTATTTACACGTGGACTATTTTCCTCGTCTTTCTTGTTGTTATGACAACGTTTCAGTCATTATACTCCCCGGTCTTCATCAGGTGTTTCTCGATCTGGGTAGCCCTCAAGGAATCTTAAAATGAACCTTTTATTTAATCTCCTGGTGGTAAATTGTTCGCGTTCCTCTGACCATGTCTCTCGATTAGCTCCTATTCAGTACTGTTCAGTTATTTCTCGACCTGTTTCCACATAATTTAAGTCCTAACTACCCGTCCCAGGGGATGAAATCGCTGGACAATAGCCTAGTGGATCAAAGCGTTGGTTTGTGAATTTCGTGATATTATAATTATGCGTTCAATCCCAGTGACGGGGAGTGTGGAATTAGATTCAGTTGAAACAAGTCGAACAGTAACTGAACAATACCAAGTAAGAACCAGTCGAGATATCCTTGGACATTGAAACGAGAACAATCTGTCCCCAATAAAGGGGTCAATTTGAAAGGAGGCTCCACGGATCGACAAGCACCTGATGACGGTCAGGGAGCACAACGGTCGAAACATTGTGAAAAATAACAACAAAGGTGAGGATAATTATCCGAATATACATAATGTAAATTAAGATAAAGGGGTCTAAATATTTTATTATTTACTCATAGGAAAAAGGAAGTGGGCTCATGCCTTTAACCCCCTGCCTGTCCAGGGAATTTTCGTGTGTACTATCCAAACGTTCATGCTTGTTTTCCGATTTATAACTATTGCAAAGCAACTTAGTTTATTTGGCAAATAGAATCTGCTGATATATAGTGTAGACTCTTTTCTTAAGCTTCCTTAGTTTTGCCACACTTTTAAAATCATGGCTCGTGTGTCAGACATATGATGCCCGGACGTGGAAATCACATCTCCTATGAATCAAATATGATGCGCGGGACAGGCAAAGGGTTAATCTGCATGAGGCCTTGATCATGTCTCGCGCACGTAAAACAAAGTAAACTAAACCATGGTCCTGTAGAGTCTTTTCGATTAGTGGGAAATTCTACCATCTTTGTAAGCAACAATGGCTTGTATCATCTTTAATATGACAACCATAATTCTTGTTTGGTCTGAGTCTTTTATATGACAGATGTAGTCAGATACTTTCAGGAGCAGTACAGGGGACCGACCATTTTTCTAGCATCTTTAGCGATGGATTGTAGATACGAGATCTTGTGTGAACATGAGTTCAAATAGACTCCCAAAGTCTGAAGCTTTATTGAGAATACATCATACCAGGAGAAAGTTCACTGTCTGTTCTGTGGCTATGAAAGCTTGGTTTTGGAGCCATTGAAACTTAAAAGCTCATGCCTTTAACCCTCTGCCTGTCCCGGGTATTTTCATGTGTACTAACCAAACGTCCATGCTTGTTTTCAGATTTATAACTATTACAAAGCAACTTTGTTTATTTGACAAATAGAATCTGCTGACATATAGTGTTTCACGTAATAAAGATATACAAATCATAAGTTATTTACACTATGCTCTGTGCATCATATGTGATACAAAGGCTATAATCATTGGAATAAAGGGATAAAACTAAGGATGCTTAAGAAAAGAGTCTACTATTGAGCAGGACATCTGAGGAAAGGCCTAGTCTAATATTTTCTGTATCATCTATGGCTACAGGACGCTTGTCTGTTTTCAGGTGTGTATAACCACTGCATGGTAGCTTTATTCATTGTGGGGCTATCCGAGTCTGTAGGCTCGGCCAAAAATTCCCTGTAGACCCCGTTTAAAACGGGGTCGGGTAGCTGTTTCCCGAGACGAGACTCTGCCCTTCGACATAGCTTCGTCTGGGGATCCTCTCTACCGGAGGCAAAGAGTTTGACCAGCACAGCTGGAGATGAATCTCCAACTCTAGACGCCCATGCAGTATTTACTACTGTATTTATATGAATGGGAACATACCGATTATCGTCCGTAGGTAGGCTACAACAACGTAATAAAAACCTATGCATCACACGTGCTGCACAGAACGTACAACTCATAAGTGATTTACACTACGCTCTGTGTATCACATGTGATGCAAAAGTTAGAATCATTTCAATAAAGTCGTAAAACTAATGACGTTCAAGAAAAGCATCTACTATTGAGCAGGACGTCTGAGGTAAGGCCTAATTTAATATTTTGTGCGTCATTTATGACTGCAAGATGCTTTCTTGCTTTCAGATTTATAATTACTTCAAGGAAACTCGGTCTATTATTTGTCAAATAGAATGTGTTAATGTATAGGGTTTCACATAATAAAGACGTTCAGATCATAAGTTATTTACACTGCACTCTGAGCATCACATGTAATAATCACATGGTTATAATCATTTTAATAAAGTGGAAATATAGATGTCTTTCATTTGAGACCTTACATTATCAGTCAAGCGTCCTGTGATCACATATGATACACAAAATATTAGATTAGGCCTTTCCTCAGACGCCCTGCTCAATAGTAGACTCTTTTCTTAAGCGTCCTCAGTTTTACCACTCTTTTAAAATCATGCCCTGACGTGGAAATCACATGTCCCGTGCTTCACATATGATACACAGGACAGGCAAAGGGTTAAGGGGCCCTTGGGTTAATAGAATTAGCCCCACCCTTCATCATATATGTCCTCCATATGTCTAAGAAAAAGTTATATTTTTAGATGATGCTTTTTTGATGTAGAACATGAAATATTCTTCAACCAATTTACTCGTTTCTCTTTGAGGTAGTTTGGTTCACTTTATGTTCTAAATATTCTGCTTCTTTTCACTGTTTATATTTGTAACATAGCCTTCTTCAAATGGTTTCTTTCTAGTCAATCTTCTTTTAAAATTTATTAGCCTTTTAGTTTTTCAGAAATCTTTTTTACGGTTTTCTGAACCCTTTACCTGTCCAGGGTATTTTCTCTTTTAAAAGCATGATGCACGGATGTGGAAATCACATGTCCTATGCATCACATATGATGCGCAGGACAGGCAAAGGGTTAATCTTCTTGACGCATTGAACATGTCTCGTGCATGTAAAACAAGGTAAACCAAACCATAGTCCTGTAGATTCTTTTCGATTAGTGACAATTGTAGCATCTTTGCTCCTCCATTGGCAGTCAAGCTTTTTGTAAATAACAATGGCTCGTATCATCTTCAATATGACAACCATAATTCTTGTTTGGTCTGAGTCTTTTATATGACAGATGTAGTCAGATACTTTCAGGAGCAGTACAGGGGACTGACTATTTTTCTAGCATCTTTAGCGATGGATTGTAGATACGAGATCATGTGTGAACATGAGTCCAAATAGACTCCCAAAGTCCGAAGCTTTATTGAGAATACATCATACCAGGAGAAAATTCACTGTCTGTTCTGTGGTTATGAAACGTTACTAGCTTGGTTTTGGAGCCATTGAAACTTAAAAGCTCATGCTTTTAACCCTCTGCCTGTCCCGGGTATTTTCATGTGTACTAACCAAAAGTCCATGCTTGTTTTCAGATTTATAACTATTGCATGCAACTTAATTTATTTGGCAAATAGAATGTGCTGATATATAGTGTTTCACATAATAAAAACTTTTAGATCATAAGTTATTTACATTATGCTCTGTGCATCACATGTGATGCAAAGTTTATAAGCCTTTCAATAAAGTGGTAAAACTAAGGATGCTTAAGAGTTGAGCAGGATGTTTGAGAAAAGGCCTAATTTAATATTTTGTGCATCATTTATGACCACAGGATGCTTGTCTATTTTCAGATTTATAACTATTGTATGGCAACTCAGGTTATTTGACAAATAGAATCTGTTAATATATAGTGTTTCTTATAATAAAAACTTACAAATCATAAGTTATTTACTCTGCCCTTTGTGCATCATATGTGATAGAAAGGTTATAATCATTTTAATAAAGTGGAAAAATAGATGTCTTTCATTTAAGACCTTACATTATCAGTCAAGCGTCCTGTGGTCACATATGATACACAAAATATTAGATTAGACCTTTCCTCATTAGTAGATTCTTTTCTTAAGCTTCCTTAGTTTTGCCACACTTTTAAAATCATGGCTCCTGTGTCAGACATATGATGCCCTGACGGGGAAATCACATGTCCTATGAATCACATATGATACGTAGGACAGGCAAAGGGTTAATCTGTTTGACGCATTAACCATGTCTCGTGCACGTAAAACAAGGTAAACCAAACCATGGTACTGTAGATTCTATACGATTAGTGACAATTGCAGCATCTTTGTCTGGCAGTCAAGCTTTTTATAAGCAACAATGGCTCGCATCATCTTCAATATGACAACCGTAATCCTTGTTTGGTCTGACTCTTTTCTTAAGCGTTCTTAGTTTTACCTCTTTTAAAATCATGGCATCTGTGTACCACATAGGATGCCCGGACGTGGAAATCACATGTCCTGTGCATAACACATGATGCACAGGACAGGCAAAACGGTTAATATTATAGATTCACTGATGCTAGTCCGCGCGTCTGTGTCAGTCGGTTCATCGTCGGCTTCTGTTGTATATTTGTAGCTGTAGGGCTATGAACGTTGATTACTTACTTTTCGTTAGTAGTTCTTTTTACGTCATTGTCTTTGTATGGTGTGGATTTTGTACAATATTCTGTCTCGGTCGTTGTACGCTCCGGCCTTCTTCAGGTGGTTGGAATGTCGAACTTAACCCTTTATTTCGCTCGCTGGGGTAGACTGTTCCACGTGCCATGTCTAATAGATGTCTGTTATCTGTTATCTCCTGTTAGTTCCCCTCTTCAAGTTCTCTACCGCCTTAACCAGGTATTGAACTCATACTGTTACTGGATCTAACCAACGCCTTTATCCACTGTGTTATATGTTCTTAAGGACACATGTCACTGTGGATAAAGGGTTCAGTTCGACATTTCAGCCACGTGAAGGAGGCCGGAGCGTACAACGGCCGAAACGTTGTAATAAATATGACGACAAAGATGAGGACAATAGTCCGAATAATGTAAATACCTCA